TTCCCGTGCCTGCTCTGTCCTATTCCCGTGCCTGCTCTGTCCTATTCCCGTGCCTGCTCTGTCCTATTCCCGTGCCTGCTCTGTCCTATTCCCGTGCCTGCTCTGTCCTATTCCCGTGCCTGCTCTGTCCTATTCCCGTGCCTGCTCTGTCCTATTCCCGTGCCTGCTCTGTCCTATTCCCGTGCCTGCTCTGTCCTATTCCCGTGCCTGCTCTGTCCTATTCCCGTGCCTGCTCTGTCCTATTCCCGTGCCTGCTCTGTCCTATTCCCGTGCCTGCTCTGTCCTATTCCCGTGCCTGCTCTGTCCCATGCCTCCCTCCTTGCTCCCTCGTATGGCCACCTCGTATAAACGTGTCGAGGCCAACCAACTAGAACGAGAATGCTGAGGTGGAGAAGGTGCACATCATGGCGTACAGCAGCAAGCCGACTAGCTGAGCGCACGGGTGGGAGGAGGGTGCGATGAGGTGCTGATTGGAGGGGGAGGGAGGGCCACCAGCTAGGCTTTGGTCATTCCGAGCGCCTCCAAGCCGTGCTGGATATGAAATGAGTGGGAGAAGGTGATGATGCGGGCAGCATAGTCACCAGTAGGGACACCCGTGTGGTTTTAGAGCTCACCTACGTCCTTGCAATGAGCGGGCAGCACGCACGCAGTGACTGTTTTGTTGGCGTCGAGCCAGTTGGGTGATCGGAAACGAGAATGATGATCACACAACTGACAGATTCGTGAGTGCAAGGTGGGGGCCGAGATGAAGTCTCGCCCAAGTGAATTTATGGAGGGGGGTTGGCGGACAGGTTGGTTGGTGGAACATAAGCAAGAATGAAGAATCGAGGAGAAGAGGAGGGAATCAGCATTTTGTTGTGAGGGTGAGAAGCAGTGAAGCGTATGGACTACAAGGTGGCAGTGAGCTAGGCGTGTCACTCCCAGGTGGCGAAGCTTTGACACTGTTCCGGAAGAGAAGATTGGATGAGATGAAAGGGTTGCTGCATGAAGATTGGATGAGATGAAAGGGTCGCTGCATGAAGATTGGATGGGATGAAAGGGTTGCTGCATGAAGATCCGCTTGTGCCCTCAAGACATTCAATGAGCGAATCTCAGTGTTGGCACATGCACCGACAACCAACACACTAGGGGAGTGCGGGAGCGAATGAATGAGTAGGTGGCAACAAGGGGGTTAAGAATCCCCTCTTCAAAATCCGAGTGGAGGCGACTGATCGGGCAGCCAAAGTGAGTGTAGGAGTGCTTGGGCCAGCAGGCGATGGCAACAAGAGCATCAGCGTTGGTATGAAGGAAAGAGATTGCGGAGTACATGCTGTGGTCGCCCTGGAGCACATGCTGTGGTCGCCCTGGAGTACATGCTGTGGTCGCCCTGGAGTACATGCTGTGGTCGCCCTGGAGTACATGCTGTGGTCGCCCTGGAGTACATGCTGTGGTCGCCCTGGTGCCGGGCGGGAGAGCATGAGGGGGAGGGGTCACGATGACCCTCATTGGTCCATGCGGACACAGTCAAGAGAGTGGAGTGAGCGGGGCTAGATTGATGGGAAGGTTGATAAGGAGGCAAGGAAAAGCAACGGTGGGAGACAAGGAGGAAGAGGCAGCAGAGGAGAATTATGCTTCAGGAGGGAGCGAGGAAGGGAGTGCGTTGGTACCGGCACGAGTGGTGTGATGTAACAAACGGATGTGCGAGGAGAAGTAGAAAGGCTGCAAGGGAAAGAGGCGGTTGAGGGCAAAGTGGTGGTTGGGAGGGGCAACTACCGTTGGTCCCAACATGTGGTTGGAAGAACCAATCACAATAGTGGGGCAAAGGCTGTTTGGTTGTGTATTACCACAGCTTGTTGGTTATTACCACAGCTTGTTGGTTATTACCACAGCTTGTTGGTTATTACCACAGCTTGTTGGTTATTACCACAGCTTGTTGGTTATTACCACAGCTTGTTGGTTATTACCACAGCTTGTTGGTTATTACCACAGCTTGTTGGTTATTACCACAGCTTGTTGGTTATTACCACAGCTTGTTGGTTATTCCCACAGCTTGTTGGTTATTACCACAGCTTGTTGGTTATTACCACAGCTTGTTGGTTATTACCACAGCTTGTTGGTTATTACCACAGCTTGTTGGTTATTCCCACAGCTTGTTGGTTATTACCACAGCTTGTTGGTTATTACCACAGCTTGTTGGTTATTACCACAGCTTGTTGGTTATTACCACAGCTTGTTGGTTATTCCCACAGCTTGTTGTTTATTACCACAGCTTGTTGGTTATTACCACAGCTTGTTGGTTATTACCACAGCTTGTTGGTTATTACCACAGCTTGTTGGTTATTACCACAGCTTGTTGGTTATTCCCACAGCTTGTTGGTTATTACCACAGCTTGTTGGTTATTACCACAGCTTGTTGGTTATTCCCACAGCTTGTTGGTTATTACCACAGCTTGTTGGTTATTACCACAGCTTGTTGGTTATTACCACAGCTTGTTGGTTATTACCACAGCTTGTTGGTTATTACCACAGCTTGTTGGTTATTACCACAGCTTGTTGGTTATTACCACAGCTTGTTGGTTATTACCACAGCTTGTTGGTTATTACCACAGCTTGTTGGTTATTACCACAGCTTGTTGGTTATTACCACAGCTTGTTGGTTATTACCACAGCTTGTTGGTTATTACCACAGCTTGTTGGTTATTACCACAGCTTGTTGGTTATTACCACAGCTTGTTGGTTATTACCACAGCTTGTTGGTTATTACCACAGCTTGTTGGTTATTACCACAGCTTGTTGGTTATTACCACAGCTTGTTGGTTATTCCCACAGCTTGTTGGTTATTACCACAGCTTGTTGGTTATTACCACAGCTTGTTGGTTATTACCACAGCTTGTTGGTTATTACCACAGCTTGTTGGTTATTACCACAGCTTGTTGGTTATTCCCACAGCTTGTTGGTTATTACCACAGCTTGTTGGTTATTACCACAGCTTGTTGGTTATTACCACAGCTTGTTGGTTATTACCACAGCTTGTTGGTTATTACCACAGCTTGTTGGTTATTACCACAGCTTGTTGGTTATTACCACAGCTTGTTGGTTATTACCACAGCTTGTTGGTTATTACCACAGCTTGTTGGTTATTACCACAGCTTGTTGGTTATTACCACAGCTTGTTGGTTATTACCACAGCTTGTTGGTTATTACCACAGCTTGTTGGTTATTACCACAGCTTGTTGGTTATTACCACAGCTTGTTGGTTATTACCACAGCTTGTTGGTTATTACCACAGCTTGTTGGTTATTACCACAGCTTGTTGGTTATTACCACAGCTTGTTGGTTATTACCACAGCTTGTTGGTTATTACCACAGCTTGTTGGTTATTACCACAGCTTGTTGGTTATTACCACAGCTTGTTGGTTATTACCACAGCTTGTTGGTTATTACCACAGCTTGTTGGTTATTACCACAGCTTGTTGGTTATTACCACAGCTTGTTGGTTATTACCACAGCTTGTTGGTTATTACCACAGCTTGTTGGTTATTACCACAGCTTGTTGGTTATTACCACAGCTTGTTGGTTATTACCACAGCTTGTTGGTTATTCCTATTCATCACGCCAACACACATGTATACTCAAAAGGGATACCTACATGTTCAACCTAACTCTAAACCACAAACCAAACAGTAACATTAGTCTAGCATGCTATAACTCGTAAATCTGCCCCTGCACCCTTGTGTGCTCCCCTCTGCCCTCCCCTCTCCCTTCCTCCCCCGACCTGCTGCTTTGCTGTCCCTCCTTCCATGCTCTCCCCGACCCCCTGCCTTCATCTAACCTGGCTGCTGTTTCGCCATCCCTGCTGCCTGTGCCATCTCTCCCTTGCTGGCCCGTCATTGGAACGTATCACGGTGATGCATCAGCCTCGAGCACGCTGCATGCCCACATGCCCGTATGCTCACGTTCCCACATCTAACCTGCTCGCAAGCCCACGTGCCTGCTTGACCATATGCCCCATGCTCACTTCATTGCCCATGCCAGACACACCATGAGTCTGTGACTTATTGGGGCCCGTGGATCAGACTGGCTGGCATCACAACACATCGTCTCACTTGCCACGGTGCTGCCTGCCATGCGCTCACCTGCCATTCCTTGTGTGTGCCTCTGTGCTGCCCAGATTGGAGTCCACAAGAGGCAACGGCATGTACACTCCCTCGCCACGCTGACTGCCCTCAGCGCCGTGTCCGCTTGCAGAATGGATGCATGTGTCTCCGTTGTGCACGCATCGTCACATATGCTAATCCGCTTCATTCAATACTTGGAGGCTTGAGTAATTTATGGTGGTAGCACAACACTAATGATATAGTTTTTGTGGCCCTTCATTATTCAGTTCCATGTCCAAGCACTTTTTCTTGCTAGTTCTGTTAGCAGTCCAACCTGGCAGATTATATGTCAGTACACTTATTGTCAGCTTGTCGCTGTATTGTCGGACTCACCTGAAGGTCGGATCTGTATTACTGTGAGAATCTAACCTGCGGCACAGTTGCGATGGTCCAGTTGAGTTGCGAGCAATTCGCGACACATCCGCCAATCCAAGGCGACGCTCACCATCCGTGCGAGGCAGGCGACGTTCTCCTCACCGCCCATCTGCCGAAATTCGTACTTGGGGGGGATTTTTCCTTGAGCTCTCACCTTCTGCACTGTTCCAGCACTTTTTATGGCGTCTCCTCCCACCCAGCCATTGGTGATTGCGGTTCAGTAAGGTGCTTGGCGTTCTGACTGTGAGGTATTGAATCAGAAGGCGAGAGTTTGAGCCTTGAGACCTTTTCAGGGCGGCGTTCGCGATTGCATACGCTTTTCGAAGCTTCGACATGAGACTACTCCTCGCGATGTCCCCTTACCTTCCGCGATTTCGTTGCTAAGACACACAGTTTTCGCCAAAACAGCGACGATCTGGCCGTTCACTTAGAAAACATATCAGTTCCTTTTTAATCTAGCAACGGTTCCTCCTCGCTTTCCCCGCCGCGATGACCATTCCGAACCCTATTTTTCCGTCCGCGTCGCGGGCCGATGTGAGAAGTCGGTACCAGCTGGGGCGGGAGCTGGGCAAAGGCGGTGGCGGCGTGGTACGGATGTGCGGCGACGTGGCGACGGGCGAGGCGGTGGCGGCGTGCAAGAGCATTCCCAAATGCAAGCTGCAGGTGCGCGCGGAAGAGGGGGGAGGAGGATGAGGGGAGGAGGGGAAGGGGGGGAAGGGTGGGGGGGTGTGTGAAGCGGCGAGAGTTCGCACGGCTGCGGAGACACACTCACGGCGGACGGGCGCGCAGACGATGAGGGGTCGTTGAAGTGGCGGGAACGCCGCGCTGATGGCGTGGTGTGAGGGAATGGCGCGCTGATGGCGTGGCGTGAGGGAATGGCGCGCTGATGGCGTGGCGTGAGGGAATGGCGCGCTGATGGCGTGGCGTGAGGGAATGGCGCGCTGAGAGGAACGGCGTGGATGCAGGATAGGCATTGTCCAATGCGTTGCGCCTCTCGCCATCCCCGTCTCATCCGCCATTCCCTCTCATTCCCATCATTTTTCTCCCCTAACCCTCTCATCGTTCTTTTAAAAGCGTTCCTTCCCCGTACCCCCCCCCCCGTTCCCCGTCCTTACCCTACGCTCCAATTCTCTGCTCTTCCCCGCGTTCACCCGTGCGCGCAACTGCTGCTCCCCTCGCGTCCGCCACGCGCGCTCACCACCGTCCGCGCGCGCAGCGCAAGGAGGCGCGGGAGGAGCTGCAAGGGGAGGTGGCGGCGATGCGGCGCGTGGGGGGGCACGCGCACGTGGTGGCGCTGCGCGCGCTGTTCGAGGACGCGGAGAGCGTGCACCTGGTGATGGACCTCTGCGCGCACGGCGACCTCTACGACTACCTCATCGCGCGCACCACGCTGCCCGAGCCGCTCGCCGCTGACGTCACCAGGTGAGCCGAGCGCTGACGTCACCGGGGCAGTCACAGAGTGTGTCCGCGCGCGGTTGTGCTGTGCTTCTCCTTGCACTGCACCGAGCGCACTGCACTGCAGGAGCCCGCCCGTGCCAGCTGCCGCATGCTGCTGTGCTGACTCCCCTGCCCCCACCTCCACAGCGCGCCATTTGTGCCAGATCCCTGCTCGCCCTGCCCCCTGCCTCGCATCCGGCGCGCTACACTGCGCCGTGAAGCCTCTCCCGCGCTCACCACCCTGCCCACCGCCGCACCCCCTCTCCCTGCTCCCATCACTCTCTCCTTCGCCTTTTCCACCCCCTCTTCCCTTCCACCCCCCTCATTCCTCCCTATCCCCCTGCGCCTCATTGCCCCCCTGCGGGCAGGTCCTACTGGCCCTACACCACTGCCACGCGTCAGGAGTGGTGCATCGCATCGGGACATCGGGACATTGGGTGCTCACCACCTGCTCCCATCCCTCGCTCCTTTTCCTGCCCCTCGGCCCCTTCCCCCTCGCGCCTACCCACCCTTCCGCAGGCAGATCCTACTGGCCCTACACCACTGCCACGCGTCCGGAGTGGTGCATTGGGACATCAAGCCCCTCCCGGGCTCACCCCCGAGCCAATCGCCCCATCCGCGCTCCCTGCTCCCATCCCATCTTCCCTTCACCCTCCAATCCCACCTGCGGGCAGATCCTACTAGCCCTACACCACTGCCACGCGTCAGGCGTGGTGCATCGGGACATCACGCCCCTCCCGTGCTCCCCACCTCTTCCCTTTCCTCCCCTCCATCCCCCTCGTCTCCGCCCCTGCCCCTCCCCTTCCCCCCCACAGGCAGATCCTACTAGCCCTACACCACTGCCATGCGTCGGGCGTGGTGCACCGCGACATCAAGCCCGAGAACATCCTGCTCGCCGCCAAGGACGAAGCTGCGGGGAAGCTGCACCTGAAGCTGGCAGACTTTGGCTTAGCAGTGATGCTACGTGCCGGGCAGCAAGCGGTGGGCATGTACGGCAGCGCGGTGTACATGTCTCCGGAGGTCGTGTGCCGCCGCCCCTATGGGGCCGCTGTTGACCTCTGGGGGCTGGGCGTCATCCTCTACACCGCTCTCTCAGGTGCCGTAACCCCCTCTCCATCTCTCCACCTCTCCACCTCTCCACCTCTCCCCTCTCCTCGTGCACCAGAACCGACCTGCTCTCTTCTCAACTCTCTCTTTGCTGCACTTCCTCTCCCGTATCTCCACACCAACGCCCGTTCCGAACTCCCCACACCCCCCCCCTCCCCCTCCCCCCCACACCAACCGCCTCAACGCCCCCACCCCCGTGGCCGTCCCCCGGCAGGCTACATGCCGTTTTGGGGCAGCACGGACGAGCAGCTCTTCTTCCGCATTCTGCGCAACCAGCCCGACTTCTCCATCGCGCCCTGGCCCTCCGTCGCGCCCGCCGCCATCGACCTCGTGCGCTGGCTGCTCTCCTCCGACCCCGCCCACCGCCCCTCCGCCGCCGCCGCGCTGCACCACCCCTGGCTCGCCCAGCACTGCGGCCGGGAACCCCTTCCCTCGCCCCGCCCCGCCCCCTCCCCGTGTGTTCCGGTGGGTGCGCCTGGCTGGGCGGGCGAGGGCGGTGTGGAGGGCGGCAGGGAGGGGAAGAGAGAGGGGGAGCGTGTGAAAGCAGCAGCAGAGGCAGGCGGGGGTGCGGCCGTGGGGAGAGGAATGGAGGGGGTTGGCAGTGGGAGGGGCGGTGTGGCGGGTGGTGCAGCAGCAGCAGCAGGTGGGAGCAGAGACACGGAGATGGGCGGTGTGGAGCCGCAGCGCACCTCATGGGATGGTGCTGCAGGCAGTGCCAGTGGGGCAGCGGCTGTCGGAGGAAAGGAGAGCGGCTGGCAGCAGGGCAAGCAGGAGCAGCAAGGAGAGGCGGGCGGGAGGCAAGAGCAAGGGGCTGGGGCAGCGGCACATGGGAGCATGGATGTGGACTCACAACAGGGGGCGAGCACGGCACAGCAGGGGCAGAGCACGGCACAGCAGGGTGGGCGGCAAAAGCAGCCCAAGGCAGCGGCCATCCAGCTGCCTGTGTTGGCGTCCTTCACGGGCCCCGCGTCGCCCCTCTTCTCCTCGCCCACTAGCACCCGCTCTGCTGCTGGCGGCGGTGTGTTCCTCTTCACTGCTCGCCCTGCCAGTGGCAGCACCAGCCACGCAGGCTCGGGTGGGGGCATGTGGGAGAGGGAGAGCAGCAAGGCGAAGCACAAGGAGCAGCAGCGGCAGCAGGTGCAGCGCCACTCACATGCACACAAGCAGCAGGAGCAGCAGCGAGGTGCAGCAGCAGCAGCAGGCAGCAAGGACGGCCACAAGGAAGGCCCTCCGAAAGCACCCGTGGAAGCAGCAGAGCACAAGGCGCGGCGGTCGTCGCACTTCCGGTTCTTCTCCCCCAAACGCAAGGCTCGTCGCTCCCATGTCGTCGTCTCCACCACCCCGCTCCCTGCCCCTCCACCCCCTCCCCTCTCGTCCCCGTCCCCATCCCAATCCCCTCTGGGCGTGTCTGAGCCCCCCGCCCAGGCCACACCCCCTGCGTCCTCCTCGTCCACTGCCCCCATGGCCTCCATCACCGTCCCCCTCGTGCGCCGCCACCCCCCCTCCTCTGCCGCTGCGTCCCCCACTGCTGCGGCTACTGACGCTGGTGCTTCTGCCCCCACGGATAGTGCTGCTGTACCATCCACGGCGCCGGTTGTGTCCGTCACCATCCCTGTCATCCCGCCCAAGCCCCCTCTCGACCCAACCCAAGAGCTCCCATCCGTACCTGAGATCCAGGCTCGGCTATCTGGGCCTGACGGGTCCATACCAGTGTCATCGCTCTTCTCCTTCCTGCGACCCCTCAACCCCATGGCCGCCAGGAAAAGTTCTTCCTCCTCCTCCCGTGCTGCACATCCAAACTCCAACTCATCCACATCCACAGCGCCACCCAGCTTCCTCTACAGCCCACGCGAGCCCCTCAAGTCGGCCCATCACCACCACTCCTTCTCTGCAGTGAGCACCACCACCAGCAGCAGCAGCAGCGGCGGCCTGCTCCCCTCCAGCAACCCTCCACGTGCGCCCACTGCCTCCACTGCTGCGTCGGAGCCGTCGTTTGGGTTGGGGCGCCTGGCGCGGCCGCTGCACGGCATGGCGGCCCTCATGCGCCCCGCCTCCCCCTCCGCCTCTTCCCCCGCACTCGCCCCCTCGCCGTCAGACTCGCCGCAGCACAGCAGCATGGGGGTGGGACGGGCAGGAACGAGTGCACACACACAGGCACATGATGAGGGCTCCACAGGCACAGTGCCACGCACACACCTCACCACCTCCGCCAGTGCACCCAATGTGGCCGGCATGCCTGGCAGTGCTGCTGCTGCCTCGGGGCCTGCAGTGCCGCATGCGCCTCGCCGCGCCAGAGGGCTCAGCTCCATTGTCAAGGCCTTCGCCTCGCTCTCCACTGCTGCTGCGGGTCCCCTGGGTAATGTGGGGTCCGGTCAGCAGCACAGTGGGGTGAGCATGGGTGCTGTGGGCGGTGGTGGTGGTGGTGGAAGAGAGAGTGCGAGGCGTGGAGAGGATTTGCACAAGGGGCAGCAAGAGAATGGGGATTCACTAAGTGTGAGTCGCTCAGAAGAGGTTAGTGAAGGCGTGTCATTTAGGGATTCGTTTACATGGCAACGACAGGGTAGCTGGATCTCTCGACGATAATGCGCTGTGCACTGTTGGTTGCTCCCTCGGTGCATTATTGCATTGCGTTTATACAGTATCACAAGTGTATGTTGTTTTGTTTTCCGCAAAATGCAATGCAATTTGAAGGTCCTTCCATGATTGACAGGCCCAAAATATTCAGATACCCTATATGAACCACAACGCACAATACCACGGATATGGTGTGAATAACCTTCGCGAGAATCTCTGTAACGAGTTCAGATTCAAAACTTGACCACCCGTCCATATCAAACATGCACATTCATTTTCTTCCACTTGGGCTTGTTTTCAAGTGCTGCTTGACAGCTGCTGCTGCCGCAATTTCACGGGCTTGACGGGCCCTAGACAGTTGTTGTCGTTTCATTTTCGGGCGGGCAGCTGAAAGATAGAAATTCGCCTATCTTCCTTTCCGACCTTCCGATACTCACCGCGAACACTCGGCCTCCCTCGCTTTCTTCCCGCCAGCAATCCGCCACCCCGCGCTCCCCTGCGCGCAATGGCGGACCCGATGGACGTGGACCCCGCGGAAGCAGGCTTGCGGAAGGCGCGGGATAAGGGGAAGGGGAAGCTGGACGAGGGGGGAAAGGGGAAGGGGAAGGGGAAAGCGGAAGATGCAGCGGACGGGTCGCGCGGCGCCGCGGCCGCCTCTGCGATGCCGTGGGTGGAGAAGTACCGACCCAAGTCGCTTGCTGACGTGGCAGCGCATAAAGACATCGTGGATACGAGTTAGTATGGGGGCGGGGAGGGTACTGGCGGCGTGACTCGTGGCGCCGTGTCTCATCATGGCGACACGAATCACGCTGCACGGAGCTGCTGGGTGGGGGCGCCATCACACCCTTGTCCGCGTCCCCTCTCCCCCGTTCTCTCTCCCCCCATCCCTCTCCCCCGGTCTCTCTCCCCCCATACCTCTCCCCCAGTCTCTCTCCCCCCATCCCTCTCCCCCGGTCTCTCTCCCCCCATCCCTCTCCCCCGGTTTCTCTCCCCCCATCCCTCTCCCCCGGTTTCTCTCCCCCCATCCCTCTCCCCCGGTCTCTTTCTCCCCATCCCTCTCCCCCGGTCTCTCTCCCCCCATCCCTCTCCCCCGGTCTCTCTCCCCCCATCCCTCTCCCCCGGTCTCTCTCCCCCCATCCCTCTCCCCCGGTCTCTCTCCCCCCTTCCCTCTCCCCCGGTCTCTCTCCCCCCATCCCTCTCCCCCGTTCTCTCTCCCTCCATCCCTCTCCCCCGTTCTCTCTCCCCCCATCCCTCTCCCCCGTTCTCTCTCCCCCCATCCCTCTCCCCCGTTCTCTCCCCCCCATCCCTCTCCCCCGTTCTCTCCCCCCCATCCCTCTCCCCTACTTCAGTCAGCCGCTGAGCCGCCTCCAGGCACTTGTGCCATCAGCTGCGCTACCTCCGTCCCTCCCAGCACCGGCAAGACGTCCACCGTGCTGGCGCCGGCCAGTGTCTCAGGCTGAGACTCTCACCCCATCCCAACCCTGCTCTTCTTTCTCCCATCTCCCTTGCTCCTTGCCGCTGCCCCTCTCTCTTCCTTGTCGATCCACATCCCTTGCCCCTACCGCACAGTCAGCCGCCTAACAGCATCCAACCGCCTGCCCCATCTGCTGCTGTACGGCCCGCCCGGCACGGGCAAGACGTCGACGGTGCTGGCGGTGGCGCGGCAGCTGTACGGGGCGGGGGGCGTGAGGAACATGTGTCTGGAGCTCAACGCCAGCGACGAGAGGGGCATCGATGTGGTGCGCCAGCAGGTGCAGGACTTCGCCTCCACCCAGTCCATCAGCTTCGGGTGAGTCAACGCAATCCATCAGCTTCGGGTGAGTCAACGCAATCCATCAGCTTCGGGTGAGTCAACGCAATCCATCAGCTTCGGGTGAGTCAACGCAGTCCATCAGCTTCGGGTGAGTCAACGCAGTCCATCAGCTTCGGGTGAGTCAACGCAATCCATCAGCTTCGGGTGAGTCAACGCAGTCCATCAGCTTCGGGTGAGTCAACGCAGTCCATCAGCTTCGGGTGAGTCAACGCAGTCCATCAGCTTCGGGTGAGTGAGTCAATGCAAGTCAAGCTAGTCATCCCGTTTTGCATCCATCCTCCGTCTCTCTCCTTCCCTCCGCCTTTCCTTCACTTGTCATGTGCCTCCACCCAACAGAACAATTCCGAAGCTATTCTAATGATGATATTCCCCCTCCCCTCCCCGCCACACCTCGTAGTCTCAGCGCCAAGGCAGCAGTGAAGCTGATGGTGCTGGACGAGGCGACCAATCATCCATCATCTTCCCCTCCTTTCCCTTCACCCTCCCTTCCCCTCGCCCTGCCTTCCCAACCCCGTGCCTCCACTCCCTCTCCCCCCCGGCAGAGCCAAGGCGGCGGTGAAGCTGGTGGTGTTGGACGAGGCGGACGCCATGACCAAGGACGCGCAGTTCTCCCTGCGCCGCGGTGCGTGCCGCTGCTCTGCTACACTCCGTGCCCTTTCTCTCCGTGTGCGAGTGCGAGGGTGGGAGAGTGGGAGCTAGAGTGTGCAGAAGTGCACAAGTGCGTGTGGCAACTCTCGTTCTCTCCCACCAGCCCACTCTATGCCTTCCTCACCACCACCACACCAGTGCTCCCGCCTTGCACATGGAATCATTCCCTCCCAGCCATATCCCCCTTCCACACTGTCCTCAGTTGGTGTTAGGCCCCAATCTCACATTTTGTACTTGTACTTTTATATCCTAGTTTAGTGTAGTTTGCACTTTGTGTTTGGTTGGGTGTACACCCACATCCCAACCAAACCCAAATGTAATCTCCAAGCAATCTCCAACCCACCAATTGGAGATTGCCTTGGGATTACCCTTGATTCCCTAGGATTGCCTCCTGATTCCCTCCTCATCCCTACCTTGCTCATTCCGGATGTACTTAAAGAGCTTTGAGCTCACTACTATAGTATCGATTCTAAGCTCAAGTTCTGACATGGTATCAGAGCAGCTCAACCGCATACGCGGATCGTGATCCTCTCATCTCTGCGGATACTTGTCCCGCAAACCTCGGGGAAGCCATCGCCAATCTCGTCACCGTTGATTCGCGACATTCATCGGCGGAATTTCTCCCGCCACATCTTCCCGTCACCATCGACGGAAACTTCTCTGGTAAGCGCATCGTCGGCGCTCTAACCTAACACTCGTTTTCATCAATTCGTCACTCTCGTCACTTCTTCTCCTCGTCGGGCCGCCGCCCGTCGCCCTGCAGCTTCTCGTCGGGCCGCCGCTCGTCGCCCTGCAGCTTCTCTTCGGGCTGCCGCCCGTCGCCCTGCAGCTTCTCGTCGGGCCGCCGCCCGTCGCCCCGCAGCGTCATCTTCGGGCTGCCGCCCGTCGCCCCGCATCTGCACTCCTACCCCCATCCCCCCTCTTTCCCGCAGCTGAACAGGTGCAGCAACGCAGCCGAGCAGCAGCGTAGCCGCGTAGCCGAGCAGCCGTGTAGCCGCGAAGCCGAGCAGCAGCGTAGCCGCGAAGCTGAGGGTGGTGTGTGGGGGGGTGTGTGGGAATAGGATTAGTAGGTAGTTGACACTAAATTGGTGTCTCAGTCAAATTCTCCTTCAGAAACCCTAAACCTCAATATTCTCTTTCGTAAACCCTAAACCTCCGGTTCTTCAAAATCTCCTTTGGAAACCCCAAACCTCAAGTTCCTATCGGTGACTTAAGAGCGGCGCTCCGCGCGAGAAGTTAAGGGGTCTCCACCATGGCTTTCTCGTCTTCCACCATGGCGAACCCCATCACCCCGCTCCGCCTTGAAGCCGATGGCTCTAGCTCCAACTTCAAGGCGTGGAGCTACGGAGTTGACAAGCACCTCCTGAGCCGTGACGTGCAGGGCCTTGACCTCAAGGACGTCCTCCTCAACCGTGGCAAGGGGAAACAGCCCACTCTTCCCCGTGAACCGACCGAATCTTCAAGTGATGCTGACGTGATGGCGTACGAAGAAGCTGTTGAGAAGTACCGGAAGTGGGAGAAGGCCGATGCTGCCATCATCAGCGTCTTCATTGCCTCCACCCCTCCCGAACTTGTCAACACGTTCCACAACTACCCTACCTCCAACGCCATCTGGAAGTATCTCCAGGATCGGTTCATGAACAAGACGGCGGTCGGAGTGGCGATTCTCATCCCCAGCATGTTTCAAGTCCGTCTTGAGGACTGCTCAGGAATGGCTGACTACATCGCCAAGGTGCAGACCATTCATGGTGAACTCAAGGAGCTGGGTATAGTCTTCCCCGAACAAGCCCCTGCAGCCGCCCTTCTTGTTGGTCTCTCCTCGGCATATGAAGTCACGAGGAAGATGCTCCTCACGCTCTCAGCGGAAGACCTCACCTTTGCTAAGGTCTCCACCGCACTCCTCTTTGCCGAGAAAGACTCCACGGCTCAGGCCAAGGCATACGCCATCCGTGCTCCCATGCCCCCAGCAAGTGTTGCAGCGGCCCTTGCCTCGGCGCCTTTCCAGCGCAACCGCTTTCCTCCGTGCACCTACGTCGTCAAGTATGGCAACCGCAAGGGACAAGTGTGTGGTGGCACTAACCACCCCCTTGCCACGTGCTTCAAGAAGAAAGACGACGAGTGGTATGCCATCCACGGGGTTGACAAGAAGCCGCCAAACTGGATGCGCGCTCGTAAGGCCAATCTCGTTGAGGTCCAGGACCCCTCTTCGGCTAGTGCTAGTGATAGTGCTCCTGTTGATGTGCGTATCAACCTGTTGTTTCCTGGCACTGCCATGATTAATGAAGCCACTTCCCAGTACATCGACTCATCACAGGCACCACAGTACATAGAGTTCACACTCGACAGCGGGGCCACTCACACTGTGCTCAAGGAGACACTCTCCTTCAAACCCTATCCAGCACCTATCCCTCTCTTGGGAGCTGACTCCAGCTTCACCACCCTAGCCAAGGGCACCTCCACAGTCCCATGCCCAGCCTTCCCTTCCGGCACCGTCACTGGCATGTGCGTGCCTTCACTACGCCACAATCTAGTGGCTCAAACAGAAATTCAGAAAGCAGGGCTACGCACCATCTTCTCGGAGAATGAGGACCACTGCGACATCATTGACCCACTCACCAACAAGGTCTTGGCCCGCTTCACCCTCAATAGCAGCGGCCTCTACACGCTACGCGTTCCTCTCCCACAGGTTTCAACCACCCAAGCACAGGCTCCCATCACACCATGCACATGTCGCAGCCTCTCCAACCCGACCATCCTCTATCATCATCGGTTAGGGCACCCAAACTTCCGCACGCTTGCTGACATGGCCTCCAAGAAACTTCTTCTCGGCCTGCCAACCACACTTCCTCCACCACCTGACTCACCCGCTCCCACGTGCCTTGATTGCACCAAGAGCAAACTGCGCCAACAGCCCCACACTGCCTCACCCACAATCGCAGCGGCACCACTGGACCTAGTGCACATGGACGTCTGGGGCCCTGCCCCTGTTCTTGCACGAGGTGGATATCGCTACTTCCTAGTTATCGTGGATGACCACTCACGATACGTCTCTGTTCACCTCCTCCACACTAAGGCTGAGGCTCCAGAGGTCATCATGGCGTGGGTCAAGCAGGCACAGACCACCTTTGACCGCAAGGTCAAGCGCCTTCACTCGGATGGGGGGGGTGAATTTTGCAACGACAAGCTCAAAGCCTTCTGCTCCTCCGAAGGCATCCAGCAAAACTTCACCCTCCCTGACAGCCCTCAACAGAACGGCATAGCTGAGAGCCGCAACCACACCCTAGTGCAGATCACTCGGTGCCTCCTCAGCCACTCCAACGCTCCACACTCTCTCTGGGGATACGCTCTCTACCACGCCGCCCTCCTCTATAACCTTTACCCCCATCCGCACCTTCCCGACACCACTCCAACCACACTCTGGCTCGGGAAAACGCCCACTGCTCGCTCTCTTCGCGTTTGGGGATGCACCGCCTATGTCCTCCTCAACCCTCAGGCTCGACGCCAGAACGGTGGCAAGCTCGGTCCCAAGACTCAAACGTGCATCTACCTTGGGCACAACGCCGACTCACCTGACTACCTCTTCCTCAATCCCTCCACTCAACAGTTGGTCAGGAGCCGCGACGTTGTCTTTGATGAGACCCGCCCATTCTACTCCCCTTCAGGACGGGACCCTCTCCCTGATCCACCCTCCCTCGTGTGGGCAGACTTTGACGCGCCTCCCGACCTCCCGCCTGCTCCTGCCCCCTCACCTCCTCCCTCTCCTGCCATCCCACCATCTCCCTCTGAGGTCTCTGACCCGGCCTCACCGGTGTCTTCGGCAGCTGCTCCGCCCCCCCCCTCACCTTCCTCACTTCCCGCTGCACCGCCCCCTCCGAGCGCACCTATCACCTACCATCGGCGGTCCCATCCTCCGGCCCCACCTCCTCCCCCAGTTCCCCCCACCACAGAGGAACCCGCTCTCCCACAGTCGCCCGAGCTGATCACGTACCGCCGGCGGCCCATTCCCCCACCCAAGCCTCCTAAGTCACCCTCTCCGACACCGCCTGCCCCACCCTCCTCACCGGTGGCTCATGGCACCCGCTCCCATCGCGCTGCTCTTCCACTCGCAATGGTTCTTCGATACACAACGATCACACCGCCTCCTCCTGCTAGGGGGGATGTGCCCTCTACCCTTCTAGAAGACAGGCATGAGGAGCTGTGTGATCTCCATGCAGTCATTCCTCAGCTCTCACACATCTTCCCCGATATCACTGGCTCACCCTCCCTCAACCTCGTGGAGAACCCGACCATCCCTATCCCTCTCACCGTCCAAGAGGCTCTCTCAGGCCCTCATGCTGCTGAATGGCGTGCTGCCATGGACGCGGAGATTGCAGCATTCACTCGCAACCACTCCTTCGACGACGAGACTCCACCTCCAGGAGTCAACATCGTCGGGGGCAAGTGGTTGTTCCGTGTAAAACAGCTCCCAGACGAGGCACCGGTGTTCAAAGCGCGTTACGTAGCCAAGGGCTTCACCCAGCAGCGGTACCGCGACTTCGACCTAATCTTCTCCCCCACATCCAAACCTCCCACCATTCGAACGCTCATGGATGTTGCAGCTCGAGAAGACTTTGAGATCAAATCCATGGATGCCTCCTCCGCCTTCCTACAAGGACGTCTCAAGGAGACAGTGTTCATGGACAGACCAGAAGGCTTCCCAGGAGAATTCCCTCCCAACACTGTCTGGAAGCTGAATCGCCCCGTCTACGGCCTTAAACAAGCCCCTCGTGAATGGCACAACAAGGTGAAAGAAGTCCTCCTCTCCCTGGACTTCCACCCCTCAACTGCTGACCCGACTCTCGTCATCCGTCGTCATTCTGAGCCATTCTACATCCTAGTTTACGTGGATGATTTTATCCTCATTGCCAAGGACTCGGCCCAAATGACCTCAGTCCAGGCAGCCCTGAGCAAGGCCCTCCAGATGAAAGACCTCGGTGACCTCAAGCACTACCTGGGAATGGAGATCACTCGTGATCGCAAGGCTCGCACCATCTCACTCTCCCAGGAGTTCTACATCGACAATGTGCTCAAGCGGTTTGAGATGGAGGTGTGCACACTTGTTGCCACCCCGCTGCCGCTGCAACACCTCCTTACAGCTCCTGCTGTACCCACACCAGAGGCCTGCTCTGAGCCATACCCGGAACTTGTTGGGTCCCTCATGTACGCCATGATGTGCACCCGACCGGACTTGGCCTACCCAGTCAGTGTTCTCTCTCGTTACGTGGCCCCGGGTCGCTTCACTAATCTTCATTGGAAGGCAGCAAAGCGGGTGCTGCGCTATCTTAAGGGCACAAAGTCCCACGTTCTCACACTCGGTGGGCTCTCCCCTCCTCGCCTGGAAGGTTACACAGACTCCTCCTGGGCTGATGACCAGACCGACCGACGCTCCTCTCAGGGGTACTGCTTCACCCTCGGGAGCGGAACTGTCAGTTGGCGCTCCACCAGGTCGTCTGCAGTCTCCCTCTCCTCCTGTGAGGCGGAGCTCTACGCAGGCACCATGGCTGCTCAGGAGGCCCGTTGGCTCACCTTCCTACTCCAGGAGCTTGGCTTCCCTCAGTCAGCCCCCACCCTCTGGTGTGACAACCAGAGTACCATCCACATCTCTCAAGACCCTGTGTATCACACCCGCACCAAGCATATTGAACTTCGGCACTTCTTCATTCGTCACCTTGTGCAACAAGAGCAGCTGAAGGTGGAATACGTGGCATCTGACTGCAACCTGGCTGACCTGTTCACCAAGCCCCTTGGGAAGGTTCCCCACCATCGTCTCCTTGGCGCCATGGGGCTCTGCGCTCCTCCTTCTCCGCCATGAGTTCGATTGACGCCTCAGGGGGGGTGTTGGTGTTAGGCCCCAATCTCACATTTTGTACTTGTACTTTTATATCCTAGTTTAGTGTAGTTTGCACTTTGTGTTTGGTTGGGTGTACACCCACATCCCAACCAAACCCAAATGTAATCTCCAAGCAATCTCCAACCCACCAATTGGAAATTGCCTTGGGATTACCCTTGATTCCCTAGGATTGCCTCCTGATTCCCTCCTCATCCCTACCTTGCTCATTCCGGATGTACTTAAAGAGCTTTGAGCTCACAACTATAGTATCGATTCTAAGCTCAAGTTCTGACATCCTCAACCGCCCCTTCACTCACACCGGTTTCCTCACCCTCTTTCTCTTTAATCCCGTTGTCTCACCTCCCCCTCCCTCCTCCCCTCCCCCTTCCTCCACCTCCCCCTCCCGCTCCCCCTCCCCCCCAGTGATAGAGAAGTACACGCGCAGCACGCGCTTTTGTCTCATCTGCAACCACGTCAGCAAGATCATCCCAGCCCTCCAATCGCGCTGCACACGCTTCCGCTTCGCCCCGCTCTCCTCTGCTGACGTCACTGCCAGGCTCAGACACGTCATCCAGGAAGAGGGGTGAGTAGGTGGGGGGAAGTGGACAAAAAGGGGTGACTGGTGACTAGGTAGGGGGTTGTATATACAATTGCAGGGTATGTTTTTTGAGAATTCTCAATTTCAGGTGCCTGAAACAAAAATGACGGTGACTGGAGGAGGCCCGAGTGGTTGAGTGGGAAGGGTGAACAAGTGAGGTATACTATGCTGTGTCAGACTTGGAGAATGAGCCGTGCTCAGCCGCCCACTCACCAATCCCTCTCTTTGTCTTCCCTCCCTTGCCGCCCAGCCAGTCTGGACGTCACAGATGGGGCGCTGTCAGCCGTTGTGACCCTCAGTGCTGGTGACATGCGCCGCGCTCTCAACATCTTGCAGGTACCACCTCCCCCAGGTACCACCTCCCCCAGGTACCACCTCCCCCAGATACCGCCTCTCTCTGGCATTGTATCACTTTCCCCAGGTATCACCTCTGCACACATGCGCTCCCTGCTCACCCTCTGCTCACCCTCTGTTCCCACCCACCCCAGTTAACCCCAACCCCACCCACTCACGTGGCATGGCTGCCAGCAGTTGGTTTACACGGCGGGCATGGTGCACCACCATGCACATCCAGAGGAAGCTGTGTGCTTGAGACAGCCCAACCCCATGCCCCCATGCCCATGTGCTTCCTCTCTCCCCACCCTGTCGCCATCCCCTCCTGCCCTTCCACCCTGTCGCCATCCCCTCCTGCCCTTCCACCCTGTCGCCATCCCCTCCTGCCCTTCCACCCTGTCGCCATCCCCTCCTGCCCTTCCACCCTGTCGCCATCCCCTCCTGCCCTTCCACCCTGTCGCCATCCCCTCCTGCCCTTCCACCCTGTCGCCATCCCCTCCTGCCCTTCCACCCTGTCGCCATCCCCTCCTGCCCTTCCACCCTGTCGCCATCCCCTCCTGCCCTTCCACCCTGTCGCCATCCCCTCCTGCCCTTCCACCCTGTCGCCATGCCCTCCTGCCCTTCCACCCTGTCGCCATCCCCTCCTGCCCTTCCACCCTGTCGCCATCCCCTCCTGCCCTTCCAGTGCATGGGCAGTGCATGTCATCTCAGGCAACTCCATGCCCTCATTCCACTCCTCCATGCCCTCATTCCACTCCTCCATGCCCTCATTCCACTCCTCCATGCCCTCATTCCACTCCTCCATGCCCTCATTCCACTCCTCCATGCCCTCATTCCACTCCTCCATGCCCTCATTCCACTCCTCCATGCCCTCATTCCACTCCTCCATGCCCTCATTCCACTCCTCCATGCCCTCATTCCACTCCTCCATGCCCTCATTCCACTCCTCCATGCCCTCATTCCACTCCTCCATGCCCTCATTCCACTCCTCCATGCCGTCATTCCACTCCTCCATGCCGTCATTCCACTCCTCCATGCCGTCATTCCACTCCTCCATGCCGTCATTCCACTCCTCCATGCCGTCATTCCACTCCTCCATGCCCTCATTCCACTCCTCCATGCCCTCATTCCACTCCTCCATGCCCTCATTCCACTCCTCCATGCCCTCATTCCACTCCTCCATGCCGTCATTCCACTCCTCCATGCCGTCATTCCACTCCTCCATGCCGTCATTCCACTCCTCCATGCCGTCATTCCACTCCTCCATGCCATCATTCCACTCCTCCATGCCCTCATTCCACTCCTCCATGCCCTCATTCCACTCCTCCGTCTTTTCTTGTCTCCCCGGTATTCTCCATAACCTCTCCCCGGTATACTCTTCAAAATGCCCTGTCGCCCTCCCCCACACCCTCCCTGCCAGTGCACGCACATGGCATGCCCCACGGTCATGATAGAGGCGCCAGTGTATGCCAGCACAGGCAACCCAGGCCTGCTTTCTCTTCCCCCTCCTCTCTCACATTCTCTCGCCTCAATCCCCAACTCCATCTGCTGCCCCACGCACAGTCCAGCCACATAGATGTCCTGCCCCACGCACAGTCCAGCCACATAGATGTCCTGCCCCACCACCAAGACAGATGAGGCCGTTTATGCCAGCACTGCAACCTAATGACCTCCTTTTCCCTCCTCCTCTGGCCTCACCCCTTCCCTCCATGTCTCCTTGTGTTGCTTTTGCCCCCCTCAGTCCACGCACATGTCATGCCCAAACACCATGACAGAGGAGGCGGTGTATGCCAGCACAGGCAACCCCATGCCCAAGGACATTCAGCAGATGGCGCACTGGCTGCTCAATGAACCGTTCTGCACCGCACTGCAACGTGAGCTGATCATTCGCACTGCAGAGGAGCATGGATTTGAGCACTCACCACCGCATGCGCTGCACTGCATGAGCCGCACGGTTTGCATCGATTCACAGTCTCATGGGGTATGAGGCCCAACCGTGACACGCCCTCCTTGCCTCTCTCTCTCCCCCCCGACTTTCCTTCCTCCCCTCCTGCCTCTTTCTCTCCCCGCGTGCCTCCCTCTACCCCCGCATGCCTCCCGCCCCCTCTGGCACGAGGCAGGCATTCTGCGGGTGAAGGAGGTAAAGGGGCTGGCCCTCATAGACATTGTGCGCTACCTGCACGGGTATGTGTGTGGGGGTATATGCATGTGGGTATATGCATGTGGGCATGTGTGTGGGGTTATATGCATGTGGGTATGTGTGTGGGGTTATATGCATGTGGGTATGTGTGTGGGGTTATATGCATGTGTGTATGTATGTGGGGTTATATGCATGTGGATATGTGTGTGGGGTTATATGCATGTGGGTATGTGTGTGGGGTTATATGCATGTGGGTATGTGTGTGGGGTTATATGCATGTGGGTATGTGTGTGGGGGTATATGCATGTGGGTATGTATGTGGGTTTATATGCATGTGGGTATGTATGTGGGGTTATATGCATGTGGGTATGTATGTGGGGTTATATGCATGTCGGTATCTGTGTGGGGTTATATGCATGTGGGTATGTGTGTGGGGTTATATGCATGCGGGTATGTGTGTGGGGTTATATGCATGTGGGTATGTGTGTGGGGTTATATGCATGTGGGTATGTATGTGGGGTTATATGCATGTGGGTATGTATGTGGGGTTATATGCATGTCGGTATGTGTGTGGGGTTATATGCATGTGGGTATGTGTGTGGGGTTATATGCATGTGGGTATGTGTGTGGGGTTATATGCATGTGGGTATGTATGTGGGGTTATATGCATGTGGGTATGTATGTGGGGTTATATGCATGTCGGTATGTGTGTGGGGTTATATGCATGTGGGTATGTGTGTGGGGTTATATGCATGTGGGTATGTGTGTGGGGTTATATGCATGTGCGCATGTGTGTGGGGTTATATGCATGTGGGTATGTGTGTGGGGTTATATGCATGTGGGTATGTGTGTGGGGGTTTTTGCATGTGGGAATGTGTGTGGGGTTATATGCATGTGGGTATGTGTGTGGGGGTATATGCATGTGGGTATGTGTGTGGGGGTATATGCATGTGGGTATGTATGTGGGGTTATATGCATGTGGGTATGTGTGTGGGGTTATATGCATGTGGGTATTGTGTGTGGGGTTGTATGCATGTGTGTGGGCATGTGTGTGGGGTTATATGCATGTGGGTATGTGTGTGGGGGTATATGCATGTGGGTATGTGTGTGGGGTTATATGCATGTGGGTATGTGTGTGGGGGTATATGCATGTGGGTATGTGTATGCGGTTATATGCATGTGGGTATGTGTGTGGGGGTATATGCATGTGGGCATGTGTGTGGGGTTAAATGCATGTGGGTATGTATGTGGGGTTATATGCATGTGGGTATGTGTGTGGGATTCTATGCATGTGGGTATTGTGTGTGGGGTTATATGCATGTGGGCATGTGTGTGGGGTTATATGCATGTGGGGTTATATGCATGTGGGTATGTGTGTGGGGGTATATGCATGTGGGTATGTGTGTGGGGTTATATGCATGTGGGTATGTGTGTGGGGGTATATGCATGTGGGTATGTGTGTGGGGGTATATGCATGTGGGTATGTGTGTGGGGGTATATGCATGTGGGTATGTGTGTGGGGGTATATGCATGTGGGTATGTATGTGGGGTTATATGCATGTGTGTATGTATGTGGGGTTATATGCATGTGGGTATGTATGTGGGGTTATATGCATGTGGGTATGTATGTGGGGTTATATGCATGCGGGTATGTGTGTGGGGTTATATGCATGTGGGTATGTATGTGGGGTTATATGCATGTGGGTATGTATGTGGGGTTATATGCATGTGGGTATGTATGTGGGGTTATATGCATGTGGGTATGTATGTGGGGTTATATGCATGTGGGTATGTATGTGGGGTTATATGCATGTGGGTATGTATGTGGGGTTATATGCATGTGGGTATGTGTGTGGGGTTATATGCATGTGGGTATGTATGTGGGGTTGTATGCATGCGGGTATGTGTGTGGGGTCATATGCATGTGGGTATGTGTGTGGGGTTATATGCATGTGGGTATGTATGTGGGGTTATATGCATGTGGGTATGTATGTGGGGTTATATGCATGTGGGTGTGTATGTGGGGTTATATGCATGTGGGTATGTGTGTGGGGTTATATGCATGCGGGTATGTATGTGGGGTTATATGCATGTGGGTATGTGTGTGGGGTTATATGCATGTGGGTATGTGTGTGGGGTTATATGCATGTGGGTATGTATGTGGGGTTATATGCATGTGGGTATGTTTGTGGGGTTATATGCATGTGGGTATGTATGTGGGGTTATATGCATGTGGGTATGTATGCGGGGTTATATGCATGTGGGTATGTATGTGGGGTTATATGCATGTGGGTATGTATGTGGGGTTATATGCATGTGGGTATGTATGTGGGGGTTTGTGCTGGGCAGTCGTTATGCTGCATGGGTATGTGTGTGGCATGCTCACAGGCATCATGCTCACAGGCGTCATGCTCACAGGCGTCATGCTCACAGGCATCATGCTCACAGGCATCATGCTCACAGGCATCATGCTCACAGGCATCATGCGTTCAGCATGCCCTGACTATCGCCTGCTGCTGTGCTGTCTGACGTCTCATGTGTCTCCAGCCAACTCGTTTGAGACTCCTGTGGTTGTCCCATGTTAACGAGTGCACCTGCAGGTGGTTAACTTGTGTCCGTATCCCTCAAAGCTCGCCTTTCTACATTATCTGAGACGCCCTTTCTAGGTGCATCAAAAATCGTATTTCCCATCCCTCAGAACCCACCCTTGAATGCAGGCCATCCACGCACACAGTTTCCATGCTTTGCTCATTCTTTCCCCCTTTGCCTCGTGCCTCCGACCCCCCATTCCCCCCCTGACTTAACTTCACCCTTATCATCGATATGCGAATAAGTCAGCAGCATGCTCCCATACCGTTGCCTGCCATCCTCACACGCCCCCGTGTCTGCCACCCAACGCCCCTCTGCATGCCCACATCCCCCTCCCCCTTCATCCTCACAGTGGACATGCCAGCAGCTATGATAGCATCCGCATATCACATCCCCACGCTGTTCCTCTCCTGCATGTCCCGTCTGTCCATTTCCTAACCCACCCCGCTCCACATGTGCACGGCAGCTTCATCCTCACAGTGGACATGCCAGCAGCAGTGCGCATCGACCTCTTTGATGCCATGGCTGACATCGAGTACGTTCCGTCGCTTCCATCTCATGTCTGCCGCTTGAACCTCACTTAGAGATTTCCTGCACCGTGTTGCCTTCGTTCCACCCTGCTGCCATCTGTCCTCCACCAAACCAATGTGCTCTTGATGTTCTGCTCCATCACATTTATGTCAGTCAATCTTGCCCGTTCTATGGGTTCTGCATACCAGGTATCTCGCATGGTTCTCTTTGCTTCCTTTAGGCCGTTTTTATGATGCCTGAAAAGTTCTGAGACGTCTCAAAATGCATAACAGGTATCTCACATGGTTCTCTTTGCTCCCTTTAAGTCTGTACGCCAACCTTTGGTCCCCGTCCCTCCCTCCTGCCAATCAGGTGCCATCTGGCGTTCGCCAGGAGTGACAAGGTGCATCTGGGGGTGAATAGCAGACACTTTCTATCTCCTGTTCTCCATGTGCTGTGCTCAATCTCTCTGTCCCTTCCTCCCGCCAATCAGGTACCATCTGGCGTTCGCTACAAGTGACAAGGTGGCGCTGGGGTCAGTAGCAAGCATTCCCTCATTGCATCCCATCCCTTGCTTGTGTGCTGTGCTCCCTCCCTTCCCCCATGCAACCAGGTACCGACTCACCTTTGCCACGAGTGAGAAGGTGCAGCTGGGGGCGCTGGTGGGGGCTTTCACGCATGCGCGCACCAAGCTTGTGGAGGGCGCCAAATAACCTGGGCGGCCCGTTGACTTTCTTTGACTTCCTTTGACCTGGGCCGTTGCAAGGCATGCATGCACATGCAGCTTGAGCCGCTTCTGGGGTTGATCGAGCATGCCTGCACCAAGCTCTGGAGGGTGCAAAATATGCCATCTGGGCCAGCAGACTACAAACACCAGAGCGAGTATGCATGTCACGATAATAAATTGGTTGACTGCCAAGAATGGTCACCAATGAAGCTGCTGCATCCACAATCAGATTTCAGAGTTCAAAAGAAAAAAAAAACAAGAGGCGACGAAATCGTCTTAGGGTTGCGAAGCTGTTTTGCAAAATATTAGTAATTGGTTTTGTTTCATCTTATATGAAACGTTGAAACTCCTAAAGGAATGCCTTTTCAGTTGAAGTTCCAAGAATGGGTGCTCACAGGATCGAAGCTTTGAGCTTCCGCTGTTTAGACACACTTCGATCGACTGCGCTACACGAGGTGAGCTAAAAACTTGCTAAAAATATAGATGGATCTTAAATTGCGCGTGAACTGATCTAGGGTTTCGTTTTCATTTTCCTCTTCCTCCCTTCCTCTCGCGACTGGAGCCTTGCCTCCCGCTACTCAGGTCAGGAAACTAAGATGCCACCTAGAACTTAATTAGCTGATGTTAACATCTAAGCTCTTATTATACCGTAGTCATTTACCTACTTCAGTGCATCTCGTGGTAGCATTCAGGTCGTTGATAAGCGTGCATCCCTCTATTCATTTATTCCGTTTTCAAGCCTGTTCCCACATAGCAGTATGTCGTTTTGCTTTCATTTGTTTATATCGCTTTCAAGAGCTGCAACCCATTCTGCTACGCTTTTTTGAATGGTTGCAGCTAATTCGATTGAAATGCTAGTAATGCTACGATCCTTTGATCTACTAGCTAGGTTTGTTTTAAGCCGTTGTTGATTAAATTTGATCTAATATTTTGTAGCTCTTTTATGTTGGGCTGAGAAGCCCTAGGATCTTTGTAGAGTTTAAGGACTGAGTAGGATTGTAATAGCGGAAGCGTTGTAATACAGAGTGGTTGAACCACCTTGCACTAGTACCGTCTCCCCCCGGATATAAGCGCCACCCTAGGATAAGCGCCTGGCGCTTCTAATTGGCATATGGCGCTTATATCCCCTCCTCGATTATAAGCGCACCCCTTGAAAAAACTTGTTTTATTATAAGCGCACGTAAACTTTAAAATTTGAAATGTGTTCAAAAAGCTGTAACGATTTTTACTTTAGCAGGCGGATATGTTGCAGATTCGGTTCCCTTCACATTCGGACCCTGCACTGGATGCGGGTCCAGTCAGCAGGACCTGTCAGGAGCTGGATGTGAGTCAGATTGGGTGTATCTCCCAGCGCGCGCGAGAATTTCACAGACGATCCCATGTAACTTCGACTCGATTGAAAAGGCAAGCACGAGACCTACAGTTTGGTGTTAAAAGATATAAAAAAATATGTATGTCATTTTATAAACGCCGGCGCTTATAAATTTACTCGATTATAAGCCCACCCCCATGAAAAAACCTGTTTTATTATTGCCCCCCATGGGGGTATATCCGGGGGGAGACGGTATGTGAGAGCAAAGTAAGTTAGATTAAACAAGCAAATACAAGGTTTATATAAGAGTACAAGGAATACAAATAGATAGATTTAAACCGTTTTACTGTTGCGATTCGATACAGTGCGACTCGGGCAACTACTTAATGTCGAGTCAGTTGTGTGTCCTTGCTGTCGCGCTGTATTGGTCAAGTCAAAGGTCGCTGACCTTTGACCTTCGCGTAACCTCCAGGCAGTTACCCTAACCTCCGAAGGTTGACTCGCGATGCTTCGATTTGGGCTGCTTCGCTAGTGTCCTGAGTTTCGACACGACAGAGGCGCCTTAAGACTTATTGTTCCCAACACTCCCCTTCGCTTCTGGAGTGTCGCTGATGGTGACGTGGCCTTGTCCAGTCAGCAGCATGCAGTACTCGAACTTCTGTTTTCCGAGCTTCTTGGTCAAATAGTCGGCTGCCATCTCGGACGTGGGACAGTAAGATAACTCGAGTCTTCCTTTCTCGATCTCGTCTTTCACGAAGAAGTATCGCAGAGCGATATGCTTCGTTCTGTTCGCGAATCCGTTTTTGTTGGCGATGCGAATTGCAGATTGGTTGTCGCAGTGCAGGGTGAAGCTGGGTAACTCAGCTAACTTTGCTTCTTCCAGCAGTTCGCGAAGGTAGAGTCCTTCCTTGGTGGCTGAGCAGAGGGCGATATATTCTGCTTCAGCTGAAGAGAGAGCGATTAGTTCCTGCTTACTCGACTGCCAGGAGATAGGTCCGATAGGCTCGAGACGATAGACGTAGCCGGTACGAGAACGCCTGTTATCAGAATCGCCGGCATGGTCAGCATCGACGTAGCCGATTAGTTTCGTCGTCGTAGCTTCGCCCTTGTAGTAAGTTAGGCCGATCGTCGGTGTGCTCACGAAGTAGTGCAGTGCGCGATCGAGCTCCGCCATGTGCTCAGCTTCGGGTTTCTTGAGATAGGTGGCGAGTTGACTCGCGGAGTAGGATAGATCCGGGCGACAGGTGACGGCTGCGAAGAGCAGACAGCCCAGTTTTCGCTGGTAGTCGCGTATGCCGGCGGTTTCTAGTAGGGTGGAGTTTCCTTGGCCGTTTCCTGCCGTGTAGCGGTATGGCGTGGCGATAGCGGTAGGGGTGAGCGAGAAGCGCTTGGCGATCGTATCGGCGTATTTCTCGGCGCTTAGATAGATTGCGTTTTCTTCTTCGCGGATGTTGAGTCCAAGGTACTGCGTGACGGTAGAAGAAACCGTGAGCGTGAGATCTTTCTGCAGCTCCCCTTCGAACCAGGTGGTGACGTCGTCGGTGGAGCCGATGTAGAGGAGATCGTCGACGTAGACGATGAGTAGGATGTAGTTGGCGCCTTTAGTGAGTCGGTACATGCCCTGGTCATGGGGCAGTTGGCGGAATCCGATGCGGATGAGGCGGGTGTGCAGGTGCTGTTGCCACAGCCGTGGGGCCTGCTTGATTCCGTAGAGGGACTTTAGCAGTTGGCAGACTTGATTGGGTTCCCCGTGGGTACCGTGAGGGAGCTCGACGAAGATGTCTGCGTCGACGGGTGCGTAGAGGAATGCGTTGGCGACATCAATCTGTCGCAGCTTTTTCTTCTTCATGGCGGCGACGGCGAGAAGAATGCGGAGAGAGGTATGTCGACTAACTGGGGCGAAGGTCTCGGTGAAGTCTCGTCCTTGTTCCTGGTCGAATCCACGCACGACCCAGCGTGCTTTGAACTTCTTGATTGTGCCGTCAGCTTTCGTCTTGATGCGGAAGACCCATTTCCCGGTGAGAATGGTCTTGTTCCGTGCCACGCTTGCGGGAACGACCTTCCAGGTGTTGCGTTCCTCCAATGCCTTTAATTCCCTGTCCATGGCTTCACGCCATTTTTCCCTGTGTTCCCCCCCCAGAGCCTGCTGAACTGTCGCAGGCTCTTTAGGAAGAGTGTTGCCGGCGGTCCCGTGGACTGCGGTGACGAGGCCAAGGATTTGTAGCCCAGTCTGTGAGTATCGAGGGAGTTCTGGATCCTCGGGATAAGCTGCTTCGTCTCCCGCTTCTGGGTCGGGGATGAAATTTGGCCCTATCCTTTCTGCTTCGTTGGTGTTGACTGTCGCAGGTGTTACGTAACCGTTGTCGGCGAAGTGGTAGAAGACTTCGGCGTTGTTACTGTCGCGAGGATTATCTTCATCCATGGGCACATCGACGGAGCAGTACGGGAGAGGTCCGGCTTCCTCCGATGCGTTGTCGACGTTCTGTTCATCCCAGTCTGCTTCGTCCGCTGCTGAGGCGAAGGCTCGGTCACCACGAAAGCCACCTGTGGGGTCCCGATTCTCGTGCAAGTTGGCGAGGTACGTCTGAAGGGTGAGTCTTTCGTAGAAGATCACATCACGTGCTGCTACTGTTTCTTTTGTGTGGACGTCGAAGATTCTCCACGCGTTGTAATTTTTCTCGATGCCGAGGTGTAGTCCCCACTGTGCCCGTTGCGAAAATCTTCCCGCTCGTGCTTCTGGGGGTCGGTACTGTACCATGCACCCAAATACTCGTAACATTTTTGTGCTGCCCTGCTTTCCTGTCCACAGCAGATGCGGTGATGCGTTGTTCGGGAGTGACGACGACGAAAGCAAGTTGTGCAGCATGACAGCATGGTCCATTGCTGCTGGCCACTGGTGGTTGGGTAGCCGCATGCCACGTAGTAGTTTGCGCATGCTGTTCTGCAGGGTCCTGTTCATTCTTTCTGCAACACCCTGCTGCTGATGTGCGTAGGGAAGGGAGAGGAGTTGCTTGATCCCCCTTTCCGCCAGGTACTGCTTGAAGCGCTGAGAGGTGTATTCGCCACCTCCGTCTGACTGGAAGCTTTTCAGCTGCGTTCCTGATTCCCTTTCTGCTACCGGTAGCCAAGCGGCGAATGCTGCGAGTGCCATGTCGCGGCTGGGTAGGTTGCGATGCCAGACGTATCGAGTGGCGGCGTCGATGAAGGTAATCGTGTAATTATAGGTTACTTGGCCTGGTTCTCGATTGTAGAGGATGTCGCTGTAGACTTTTTCGAGTGGTGCGTATGCAGGTGCGCTCGGGTTGTGGTGAGAAGAAAAAGGTCGATGTGGTAAGTCGGCCTCGGGGTAGATGAGGCAAGTCCCCCCGTGCACGTTGAAGTTCTCTGCCGTCGAGTAGTAGTAGTGAGTCTTTGTCTAGTACTCCTGCTCGTATCGTATTATTTAACACCGTGTTACTTGGATGTCCTGTGCGTGCGTGCCAGATGTCTTCGGAGGCGCGGTGTCCGGGTGAACGTTGATATGCGTCGGAGTTGGAGTAGAAGCTGGCGACGAAGTTGGCGCTGCGGTGGACTTCTCGTTGAGTCGGGTTCAGCTGTTGTGCGGGTGTTGGTGGTGTTTCGTCGACGATGACTGGTGTCGTTGTTCCTGCTGCTGCCGATGTTGTCTCTGCTGC